GCACCCCGTGGGGCTTCTTGGCAGGAGCGTGCCCTGCCACCACCTCCCTGCCCGCCCCCACTCACTCACCAGTGACGCGTGAAGAGGTTCCAGGCGCGTGAGAAGCCCGCAGTGCGCAGGCCCTGGAGCAGAAACAGCCGAGGGTGGGAACTCCCGGGTGTTTCTCAGCAGGGTTGGCAGACTGGGGGGAGGGCTGGGGGGAGTGAGCCAGGCTCGACTTAGGGAACTAAAACTAAACTGGGGGGGGGGTTGAGGATGGTCTTGAATAGGAGACCCTCTCCCCCACACACACACACACATGGACACATGCACGCACCCCCCCCTCGCCTGCTCCGCCCTGGAGCAGAAACAGCCGAGGGTGGGAACTCCCGGGTGTTTCTCAGCAGGGTTGGCAGACTGGGGGGAGGGCTGGGGGGAGTGAGCCAGGCTCGACTTAGGGAACTAAAACTAAACTGGGGGGGCGGGTGAGGATGGTCTTGAATACGAGACCCTCTCCCACACACACGCGCACATGGACACATGCACGCACCCACCCACCCCGCCTGCTCCCTGCAGTTCTCCATCCCTGGCGGGTCAGAGTCGGGCTTTGCCCTCAAAGGAGCGGCTTTTCTGGGCCACCCCGAGACACGCTCCCCCAGCCACCCCGGAGCACCCAGCAAGCCCCTTGAAGAGGAGCAGCGCAAATGGAACCGGATGCACTCTCAGACTTCCCACTCGCATCTCGGGCTCTCATTCCACCTACAACCATAGAATGTGAGAGTGGGAAGGGACCTTGCAGGTCATCTCGTCCAACCCCCTGCACTCTGCAGGAGCACAGCCGAAAGATAGCCCTACATACCTATAACACACCCAAAGGATGGTCGTCCAGCCTCCTCCGCTTGAAAACGTCCAACGAAGGAGCATCCATCGCCTCCCGAGGCAGCCCGTTCCACTGCTCAACCACTCTGACAGTCAGGAAGTCTCTCCTGATATTTAGCCGGTATCGACTCCCTTGTCATTCCCACCCACCAGATCTAGTCTTGCAATCCAGAGCGAGAGTGAATAGATCTTGAATTTCTATCCCGCCCTTTCCTGCATGCGGGCTCAGGGTGGGTTACAACGGTTGTTGTAATTAACTGGATTTTTATTATTCCTGTTGTAAGCCGCCCTCAGCCCACCATAGCATCAGGTGGGGTAGAAGTGCAATAAATAAATAAATAACCATTACAATTTAGTCCAGTTAAAACCCCGATAACAAAATTCATAAGATGGCAAAACAGTTTGACAAAAACTCCCGGGTGAGCCCCTGGATGTGTGCTCAGGATGGAGCAGAGCACTGGGCAAGTGGCCGTCAGTCACCACCGATTGCACAGTTGACACAACGCAAACAGAACCATAGAATCATAGAATGTTAAGAGTTGGAAGGGACCTTGCAGGTCATCTAGTCCCACCCCCTGCACTCTGCAGGAGCAGAGCCAAAAGAGAGCCCTACATACCTACAACAGACCCGGAGGATGGTCGTCCAGCCTCCTCCGCTTGGAAACGTCCAGCGAAGGACGTTTCCCTATGAGGAAAGGTTAAGTCGCTTAGGGCTCTTTAGCTTGGAGAAACGACGACTGAGGGGTGACATGATCCAGGTTTATAAGATTATGCATGGGAAAGAGCAGATAAAGAAAGAGGTACTTTTCTCCCTTTCTCACAATACAAGAACTCGTGGGCACTCCATGAAATTGCTGAGCGGTCGGGTTAGAACGGATAAAAGGAAGTACTTCTTCACCCAAAGAGTGATGAACACATGGAATTCACTGCCACAGGAGGTGGTTTGGGGGGGGGGGTCAACAGTGGGAGGGCTTCTAAAGTCCTGGCCCCACTGGTGGACCTCCTGAGGGCACCTGGTGTTTCTGGCCCCTGAGTGACACAGAGTGTTGGACTGGATAGGCCTTTGGCCTGATCCAACATTGGCATCTCTTATGTTCTTATGGGTGAAGCAGGGGAGGCCGATGTGATTGGACACACTGACTGCCTCAACCACAAAGGCCTGGCGGAACAGCTCTGTTTTTCAGGCCCTGCGGAACTGTAATAAGTCCTGCAGGGGCCTGATCTCACTTGGGAGGGTGTTCCACCAGGCCGGGGCCAGACGCTGTGCAGATGTCTTTGGGGCTGGGGGCCACCAGGAGGTGTTGTTCTGATGACCGTCAAGCTCTTCGGGGGACATCCTGGGAGAGGTAGCCCTGCAGATATGTTGGTCCCAGGCCATTTAGGGCTTTAAAGGTTAATACCGTAACCTTGAGCCTGATCCAGTGCTTGACCGGGAGCCGATGCAGCTGGCGAAGGACTGGCTGTGTATGAGCTCTCAGAGATGTCCCCGTCAGGAGAGGCGCCACTGCATTTTGGACCAGGTGAAGTTTCCCGGTCAGAGTCAAGGGCAGCCCAGCGTAGAGCGAGTTACAGTAGTCCAGCCTGGAGGTGACCACTGTGTGGATCACCATGGCTAAGTCGTGGGAGGAGAGATAGGAAACCAGTTGCCTGACCAGCCGAAGATAGTAAAAGGCTGATCTGGCAAGTGACTTGGTCCTCCATGGAAAGCGAGGCATCCAAGGGCACACCTTGTTGGTCAATGATCAACGAGCGTGTCCAGAAGAGGGCAACCAGGATGGCGAGAGGGTTGGAATCCAAGTCTTACGAGGAAAGGCTGAAAGAGTTGGGTCTGTTTAGCCTGGGAAAGAGAAGGCTTAGAGGGGACACGATTGCAGTCTTCAAGTATCTGAAGGGCTGTCATGTAGAAGATGGAGCAGATCTATTCTCTCTTGCTCCGGATGGCAAGACGAGATCTAATGGGTGGAAATTACAAGGGAGTCGTTACCGGCTAAATATCAGGAGGAACGTCCTAACTCTGAGAGTGGTTGAGCTGTGGAACAGTCTGCTTCGGGAGGTGGTGGAGGCTCCTTCGCCAGACGTTTTCAAACGGAGGCTGGACGACCCTCTTTCGGGGATGTTGTAGGGCTCTCTTTCGGCTGTGCTCCTGCAGAGTGCAGAGGGGGGTTGGACTAGATGACCTGCAAGGTCCCTTCCAACTCTAACATTCTATGATTCTGTGATCACAGCCGGGGCCGTCTCTTCTGCTCTGCAGGGCACAGCCAAGAGGGTCCACCGCTCGCCTCAGAGCTGCCCGCCCCCTACTGTGCCAGGCGGAGGGAGGCGAGAGGGAAGTGGGCAGGCCGGCCTGACAGCTCTCCCCCCCCGTGCTCCATTGGCAGAAAGTGGTGGCCCGCTTCCTGGCCCAGGAAGAGACTTTCAGGCATCTGGAGGAGATGAAGTGCGAGAACGAGGAGGCCGTGGTGCGCCTGAAGGAGGAGAAGGAGGCGCTGCAGGCGAAGCTCCAGAACCTCAAGTACTCCGGAGAGGCCCAGCTGATTGGGTAAATGTGGACGGCTCCGCTGGCCGTCCCGGGCGGGCATTGCGCCTGGGCGGGGCAGAGGCTGCGCGTGCCAGGGCCACCAGCCGACGCAAGACAACCCGCCCGTTTCCCTTGGAGGAAGTTGGGGGGGGGTCCGGCAGCCGGGGAGTGGGGGGGCTTTTGTGGGGGGGTCCCCCTGTGGGGCTCCGCCCCTTCACCCTCTTCCCTCTGACCCGTCCCAGCACCCAGAACCTGCTGAAGAAGCTCCGCGGCCACCTGGGGCAAGAAGAGGCCAGGCGCAGCGCAACCAAGGCCGAGCTGGACAAGGTGACCCGGCTGCTGCTCAACGCCAGGGCGGGCGTGGAGCATCTGGCATCCAAAGTGCAGCACATCAAGCTGGTGAGTGCCAACCCCGCTCCCACTGCCCCACGCTGCCTGCATGGGGCTGGCATGGACAGAGGGCCCCAACCAATGTTCCCTCTAAGCTGCGGAGTCCTTGTGAGCAAAAATTCTACTTTGTGAGCTGCTGGCATTAACGTTGTGAGGGAGCGATTTGGCTACTGCATGAATTAGTCTGCTCTGGAGCCCCATCCCTTCCTGAGCTGAGACAAAAACATGTGAGCCGGAGGCTGAAAAAGTGTGAGCTGGCTCACACTAACTCAGCTTAGAGGGAACTGGCCCCAACCTGCTCCGCTCATCGCCCTCCACCATGTTTCTGAACCGAGTGGGGGGGTTGGTTCAGTTGTTCCATGGGGGGGGGCAGCTGGGTTCCTTCCCCCCCCCCCCAGTTGTAGGAAAGCCAAGAGAGGCTAATGGTGAGAATGAGGGTTGTGCCATCGTCCTCCGGGGTTCTGTGGCCGTTGTTTCAGGGAGCCGGTCTCCCAGTCTTGTCCTGGGTTTATGGCTCTCTCGGCACACGACTCCATTTCCCTGCTGCTGTTGGGCCAGATGGCATCTCTCCCTCCTTTCCCAGGAAAGCAGCCGCTCTGCTTCTACCCAGCTGGACGAGAAAGCCAGCGACTATGTGCTGGACCTCCTGGGCCAAACGGAGGAGAAACTGCTGCACGTGATGCAGTCCCTGGGGGACCGGGACCAGGCTGAGCTGCTCCGGAGAATTGAAGAGGTGGAGGTGGGTATCGATCCGGCTGGGGCAAGCGAGGCAGCTCCGCCTCCTCCTTAGGAACTCCTTAGACTGACTGGCCTGATGTTGTTTTGTGTGGGTTTCCACACTGCTCCAGTGGCGGCACTAAAGGCTGGAGGAGAAGGCCCTGGAGACATAATCTATGCTGTTCCCCAAAGTAGGCAGTCTCTACTTAGTCTAGGGGAGTTACCTTGGAAGCGGAGAGGCGAGTAACTTGGATCTCCACCTACGTATACGGGGATGGTCCTTAGGAGAACTCTAGAAATAACCAGGCAGTTATTTACAGGAACAGTTTTTTATTGGAACCAAAAGAAAACAGGATAAAACAGGGGGGGCACATGGCAAACACATACAAGAGCTTACTAGGAAAATCAAGGAGGAAAAGGGGAAAGCGTTGATGGGATGGGTGATCATTACCGGTCTTGAAGAGGTCCACGGAAGCATCAAGTTGAGAAAGGAAACGGCCAGCGTTTTGGGAAGCGAGCAAAAACCCACACACAAGTTGGGGTATGAGGGGGATCCAAGAACGCACGCACGGACACACTGCTGGGGCAGCTGGGTGACATATTTATAGGGCAAAATGTATCCTGAGGCAGATTGACTCAGCACGACTGCTGGTCCTCACCCGGTTCCCCTCCCCACCCCGGGTTGCACCCATTTTGGCTGGCTCCTGTCTGGGAATAAAGTGACACGTTATGTGGGAACTCTGTGATTAGATCTCCCCGAGTTCCTCTCCTGTTGGAATGGAGCCTTCCGGGAAGGCTGAGTGGGACTGGAGCGATGGTGTAGGGCGAGGGGGGGGTGATCCTTTTCCTCCCTGTCCATGTGCCCACAGTAGAAACAGGAGGGGGGGGGAGGTCGTTAACCCCCTGAGCCCATCCAGCGACACGTTCTGCGAGACCAGAAGGACCAACTCACACGTCATAAAATCGTGCTGCATTTTTATACAGCACAGGGCGCTTAAAACCAGCTCCCGTGTACCATCTCCCAGTCCTAAAATGGGTGGGCTGCTTGAGCTCCACCTGACAAACGGAAGGCAAGAGGTGGCCCACTGAGGCTTCTCCCCGGGCAGCAGGCCTTTGGAAGCAGGGGGGAGGGGGAGGCAATTTGATGCCTATTCCTGCCACCACCACCCCAAACACTCCAGGATTGCTGGCCGCCAGTTCTGGCAGGCTTGGACCCAACGTGCCAACTGAGGGGCTCCCCCCTCCCCGAGTTCCTCTCCTGTTGGAATGGAGCCTTCCGGGAAGGCTGAGTGGGACTGCCCCCAACCTAACCTCCCACCTCTTCTGTTGCAGTTCCACTCGAAGATGGAGAGGAGGCTGCCGTCCTACAACACCCGGGTCAAATTGCCCGTCGCTCAGAAAGCGGACATGTATTACGGTAAGCGGCGGACTTGGGCCCCGCGGGCCGGGGTGGTGGTGGGCTGTGCAGGCTCTTCTCCCCATTTTGGGGCCTCTCTGATGGAGGGCTTTACGTAGGGCAGTCAGTGGTGCACTGTGGCTTGGGGGGGGGACTCAGGGAGGAGTCTTCACAGAGCCCTTGGAGCTGAAGTCCGTGTTTCCTCCGGGACTGTGGATTGTTCAGCGTGTTAGCCCTGGTACGACTGAGTAGGGGATACAGAATGTACTGGGGTATGTACTGAATGTACTGGTTGATGATAGAGCTTCATTCCAGAATCCAGTAAATGTATCCTGAGGCAGATTGACTCAGCGCCAGAGGACAATGATGGTTCTACCGGAGTGAGACAAAGAGGTGGAGGAGGTTTGATGGCCCTACAAGCATCGGACGGGAAGGCTAATGGGGAAAGTGAATAGATTTAAGCGTCGCTTAATCAAGGGTTACGGGTGGAGGGGAAGTCAGGCTTGGGTGCTGAAGGGGGTGAATCAAGAGGTTCTGGGTGAAGGAGGGGATAGTAGCCTGCCAGCCACTCTGACTCACACCTTAAAAACTATCCCCACCCCCAGGCCTCTGCCTGTCTGGTATCCATCTGGGTCCGTTTTGGCCCAAGCGGTGCCCTGCACTTAGGGTATTAGGGTGATGCATAGAGGGGTGGGTGCTTCTGACTCCGTAAGCTATAAACTGCCCCCCAGCAGAAGGAGGGGGTCCGGCCGCTAACAATGCTGGTCCTCTTCGCTTTAAGATACGCAGAGACTCCTCACAGGGGGCAGCACGACTGCTGGTCCTCACCCGGTTCCCCTCCCCACCCCGGGCTGCACCCATTTTGGCTGGCTCCTGGCTGGGAATCAAGTGACACACTATGTGGGAACTCTGTGATTAGATCTCCCCGAGTTCCTCTCCTGTTGGAATGGAGCCTTCCAGGAAGGCTGAGTGGGACTGGAGCGATGGTGGGGGGCGGGGGGGGGGGGGCGATCCTTTTCCTCCCTGTCCATGTGCCCACAGTAGAAACAGGACGGGGGGGGGAGGTCGTTAACCCCCTGAGCCCATCCAACGACACGTTCTGCGAGACCAGAAGAACCAACCCACGTGAAGCAATCTGCAATAACCCAAACTCACACGTCATAAAATCGTGCTGCATTTTTATACAGCACAGGATGCTTAAAACCAGCTCCCGTGTACCATCTCCCAGTCCTAAGACGGGTGGGCTGCTTGCGCTCCACCTGACAAACGGAAGGCAAGAGGTGGCCCACTGAGGCTTCTCCCCGGGCAGCAGGCCTTTGGAAGCAGGGGGGAGGGGGAGGCAATTTGATGCCTATCCCTGCCACCACCACCCCAAACACTGTAGGATTGCTGGCCGCCAGTTCTGGCAGGCTGGGACCCAACGCACCAACTGAGGGGCTCGCCCCCCCCCCGCCGGTGCCCCCAACCTAACTCACCTCTTCTGTTGCAGTTCCACTCGAAGATGGAGAGGAGGCTGCCGTCCTACAACACCCGGGTCAAATTGCCCGTCGCTCAGAAAGCGGACATGTATTACGGTAAGCGGCGGACTTGGGCCCCGCGGGCCGGGGTGGTGGTGGGCTGTGCAGGCTCTTCTGACCATTTTGGGGGCTTTCTGGTGGAGGGCTTTACGTAGGGCAGTCAGTGGTGCACTGTGGCGTGGGG